CCTCCTCCTCTTCGAACCGCACTCCCGGGGCGCAAACAATGCACGTCGCGGGAGTCGATCAGCTAGCATGCGCAACGTGGCCCAGCCATCGGAGCCTAGTGCGTGATATAACGGTGTTAAGCGGGTCACCAGCTCTTCCTGCACCAAATACGCGACACCGAACACGCTCATTGCTCACGCGATGCTCCCACCAGACGTGAGCTAAGCTGCGGAGGCAGCGATGATCGAACGTGGCTAGCCATTTTATGTTTGTCGACCGGACGGGCCAGGCTTCACAACCGTATAGCCGAGTTGAACGGACGGCTGTAGTATAAACTCTGCCATTCAGTGCAAGAGTGATATCGCGTCTGCGCCACAGGTGGCAGAGACTGGCAACAGCACCTCGAGCTTTTGCCAAACGGTTCGTAACCTCATCTTCGATCCCACGGGGGGTTAATATAGCTGCCCAGATACTTGAATTCCTGAATGACTTCTAGCTGATTACCACCAAGCGTTAGCGCAGGGCTGGATTCTTGCCAATCTTGGAGAAGTACTTGCATTTCGATGGAGCAAAGTAAAGTCCAAAATGATAGACAGCCAGTGCTCATCGGTCCAGTGCTGCTTGGCATGTTTGGAAGCTGTCACAGATTAGGGTAACATCATCCGCCTACTCCAAGTCAAGAAGTAGCTCCACACCTAGGTCGTGTCCAACGAACGCTATTTCCATGACTTCATCAACAGCGAAGAGGAAAGGTGACAACGGGCAACCTTGTCTCACACCGCTGATGACACAGTTTACCATAAACACTGCCCGAACTATGCACGTGCAACGTTTTGATAATGTTTACGTATTTATCAGGCACAACTTACCTCAGCAGACGAGATAGCAAGTTGTTTAACTTATTTAAGTCGAGTGTGACATGTTTACTAGCAAATTCTGCTTCTAAAATCAAGTACAAAGCAGTGTCTATGTCCATAAATGGAGGAACTACCAAAGTGTCTGAATGAACAGTCTACTCGTCCTCACTGCACTTAGAGACTGAGTCCATGGTTCAGGAGACAATAAACGCTTAGTGAAAATGGATAAAATAGTGTCACGAATAAACCAGGAAAAACTGCAACTCACCAAAAAGGCGAAAATAATTCCGACGGGTTTCTCCTACGTGGTGGGGAATGATTCAGATCGGCGTCACTAATGTAGTGACGAAATTGATTATTGCCGGGGTCACCAATGTAGCGAGAGTGGCCGGCTTACGCTAACAGTATTCGCGATAGACCACTGGCGAGTACCGTCCCCACTGATTGAGAAGAAGGCAAGGGAGTGATGGGATGAAAGTGTATTGTGGTACATGCAATCCGTGTGTATTGGCTAAAAATGCGACACTGGACGACGCGAGTTAGCTAGGGAAGGATGTGAGACCGCGCGATAGGGCAGCGTGTTGAATGCAACCGTGACGCCGTGTGTGTTGGATCAGACAAACAAATGCAACGCACATATAAACATACTACAAACAAAAAATGGTATTTTTGTTTAGCATTTTACACAACATACTCAGGCAAAACAGGGGAACCACTATACTGCTACAGGGGTTCCTGTACCGCAGTTGGGCGGTAGCAGACATCAGGCTACTATCATCGCAGCTAACACGAACATTTTTAGCGCTTTAACTGATTGGCATAACAATACATTTAGTTTAAGTTGAGACGCTTTTTGCCCTCTGATTCTGTGAAAACAAATGAGCGGATGCTTCACAGAGTTGTCGTCGTAAATAGTGCGGACACGATTGATTCCGAAACGACAGCTCGGCAACGGTTGGAAAAGCGATCCCAACCTTAGAGTAACTCAGTGTCTGTGAGCCAAGTTGTCCTTAGTGATTTAACCCAACACGTGCGAAAGGTGTATGATTGGAACGGGATCAACTAATCGGCCTCTGAAACTAACCTACTCAGCGAGCGAGAATCAAGGTGTTAGTAACCCCCAATCATTGCACCGATATATGAGTCCCTGAGACTAGTGATGTAGATCAGCTAGAAGAATCTGCAGGAATTATCCGCTGATCCCACGTCTCCCATTTCCTGAGCCTTATTAGTCTATCAGACTTTCTTTACAATCCAAAGGCCCTCTTTTAGCGCGCATCTAGTGAAGCGTCTGGTCTCATTGTTCTCGGCACCGAGATGGATTATCCTTCTGAGTTCCAGCATGTTCACTATCCGGAGCTTTGACGACTGAAGGTGACGAAAGCAGGAGCTGACGCACCATGTATAGCAGCGGGAATCCCATTCCACCCACAATCGATGTTCTCAGAAGAATTAAGCGAAAGCGCAGTAAGCAGGACATCCTGACAGACCTGGTTAGTCGCGTCTAGACAGTTACTAATCGAGATTATCGTTCAAGACATCAGAACCAGTGCAGTATTCCAAAAAGAACGACAATCATAGATGGAACATCGTATCACTGGGTAGTGCCTCTTAAAAACAACCGACGTTCAGTGCACGGTCGCGATTAACACTTGTCACTGTCCGTATACTCTGGGTAAAATTCATGCAACTGAGCTGAGAAGCCTAGGCTGCTTGCTTGAGCCTTCACTTCATTTGCATTTGTGTTAACAGAACTGTAAAGTAGCGTGTAAATTCTTGGCAGACGTCCTTGCCGATATAAGGAGGGCAGTAGGTTGCAGCCTAGACGGTAACTACAAACAGCACCTTAACAAACAGGCTACACGGGCTGCTATTCGTGTGCGTCCACTAAATTATTGAGCATTCAGCCATAGAACTGAGGAAGACGGTCAATCCAGGTTGATCCGCGAATGTTGCACCGGATCTCTGGATAAGTGCAACCAATAGCGATAGCAAAGATATCAGGCACAGTCATTCCGACATCTGCTTAAGCTTCGTGAGTGCTAGTTTCGAAAACGTCGCACAGATGGACATCAAGGGCATTTAGTACGTGAGTGAGTGCAGCCTGCTGACCCATTCATCTTGGCATACGAACACTGGAAGAGTGATGTGTCTGCTAGGTCTTGCAACCGTAGCCTGCCTTTCGAGGGCACATACCGAATCACGCAGCTGTGTTCAGCACTGCGTGTACTCTGGCTGGCTCCTGTCTATTATGCTGCTATATGCGCACTTTGTTTTCGGAGCTTTCATTCCTGAAGTAGTAAAGGGGACAGCCTTTCGTAACATTGAGCCCAGCTGACACGCAGCTCTACAGAGAATCGCGATCAACTAAACCCAGTCCACCCTGTGTTGCAGAAAATGACTACGGTAGGCCGTCTGTGTGTAGCGCCGCACAAGAACCTGGCGAACTGCAAACACACGATCGATGCGTTCTGTCGAAATTGAAGCGTCTTTCTTTGTTTCATTAGAATTAGTCAACCTTCAGTACGCCGCGCATTACAGCAATTGTGACCAGCTTGAAGCCAATGGCAATGACGTTAGCGTCTCGATGAATCGTTAAATATGAGAAGACGCCTTCGCGATGCATAATGTAAAGCTGAAAAGTGCGATAAGCTCAGCTTTAAGGGATTTGCCGTATTCAACAGCAATAGTGTGAAATAGTCACATACAGGTACTTCGTTTTATCATAGCAGCTGCAGATTTTGTCCGGATGATCCAGTAATGGTAGTGATGATAATAACTGATCAGACGAACGAATTCCTCCCCGAAACGCTTTTGTCGATGTTCAGGTTGAGCGCAACAGACGGTGGAACCGACCTCACACTTCACCAACATATGGGTGAAAGAGTATGTTTTATTGGGGTTTAGCCGTTTACAACAAGTATAGACATTGGTAGCCTTATGCCTACCATAGAGGCGATTACTAGTGTACAATGAAGATGCCACCTCGATTGGTGACGAGACATCAACGATATAATCGTCCAGGTCAGTGAACAAGTGAATATCTCAGGGTTTAAAGTATTTGCTGCATGCAATATCGGGTTCAGTCAAGCAGGCCGCAAGTTTTGACAAAGCTTACCACGCAGTTGCGATTTTCGTCAAACTACTCGCTGCTAGTAGTGACGGCATCCTGATTCTCTGTTAGCGTCGAGAATCGGTTCCATGAGTGAAGAAGCTCTACTTCAGCCATCTTGTGTGTGTTTAATATGCTTGTGTTTACTTCAATTTCACCGTTAAATACCAGTCGGCCATTCACGAATCTTATGTTTTTCGTTGCGTTACACGTCGGTGTCATCTTAACCCTAAGTTTCTTAAACTAAAATGTGCCTACTCATGAGCGAGACAGCTCCGACACGACTGTCGTTTATTCTGGATCTATGCCCTTCTATTCAAATTGCACATGGGTTGTGGGGAAAGCATGTGGCGTGGCCTTTAAATTGTCCCTTGCCGTTTTCACTGAATATCGTTTTTACAACATCGCTACAGATACAATAGTTTTCTCGAAATATTTCAACATTGACCTTCCCAAGGTCACCACTGCTTACTTTTTGTGAATAACTCAGGATACTGCGCACTTGAAGATGGACCGACCCAGGTGGAAATCAGGCTTGCAGCGCTGGTATATCGACAGGATTCAACTCTAGATTATTCTGTCCAGGAACGTTTAATCGTTGCTCGTGTATACCGATCATTCAAGTGGCACCTGTACATGTACTTTTTCATTCATTCAAATTTATTTCTCTTCATGGACGATATTGTAGGGATGAAAATGTGCCCATCTGGACACATAAAGCTTATTTCGACCTGACACCCTGTGCGAAGCACTCGCAAACTCATTCGGACGCATGCGTCCTTTTTCCGGACAGTAACAAGCATCTAGTTGAGAAGCATACGCAGCCAAAGGATGTGCTTATTTAAAACAAACGGAAGCATGAGCGTTCCTTCGTGTGCCCCAGCTTTCCATCTGTTAGGTGCATGAAAGCACTGCATTTTCACAAGTTCGCCGCCGCTGACGATGGTTTGGCTATGGCAACGAGATTACACAAAGTAAGGACTGTCGTCACTAACATTTGACAACCCATCAAAGGTAATCAAAAAGGTCGGTTAAACAGGATGATCAACATGATTTCAGATTAAAGTTTATTGTAAAAGAGTAGTGGAAATGATCACAGCGAGACCCACCAGATCGGCTGGGTAACGGTGTACAGTTCGTACGGAATACAAACAGCGGATCTGTAGCGGAGAGCTCGGAAACGGGTCTGCAAAAGGCAGACAAGTGGGAAATTTCACCGCAAAGAAAAGAGTCATCGAGACAGTAAAGTAAGGAAGAAAGCGAAACCCCCAAGTTGGATGTTTTGTTTGTTCATCGTCCATGCCGTGAGGATAAGATACGCAAACCTTGGCAGTCCAATCCGATTTCTGTGGCCTGAGAACGAAAGTAATAATAGTATAGTGATGCACATATCAACAAATTAGTAATACAAACAAGATGTTAGGAGCTAAGCTTGATAAGTTTTTCTTCGATTCCTAGTGTGTGAAATATAGACCGCAGCGGAACTGCGTCTGATGACCGGTCTTATGCCACTATTTGGACCGGTGGGAAATATTTCATATCAAGTTTCATAGGTGCATATATCCCATCTTTCAAATAAATGCAATATGAAGACCACACGGCATTGCGTTACGGATGACCCTTCAGGTAGTTCATTGTAAAGCACGGTACAATGGATTAGCGTTCCTCGGTAAAATGCATCAACAGTATGCTGATACGTCGCTGCGGCCACCACCAGTCGCGGATTTGATAGAGGAGCCGTGAGGTCTTCCGCACCAACGTAGACTCGAATTAGTGGCCTTTGGATTACAAGTCAGACACCTGAACCACTCTGCCGCAAACCGACAAGTAAGAAATGTTGCGGCTGAAAGAACTGACAACAGAACGTAACGACCGGTAACTTGCCTTGGTAATGCAGCACAGTTTCCCCTTCATTGCTGGAACATAACATGCTCCACTAAGGGGGTCTTTGACGTGTTCCGTGCCACTGAAACAAAAGTTGCTCAGGTTACCGTTTGTGCCTCAAGGAAAATTCAAGGTGAATAATCAAATGATGGTATATGTAGCGAAATTTATGAAGTATCATAGACATTGAGCAGGATTACCGTTGAAAGTGAAATTTGTTTATTGCTGGTGATGCCCAAACGGCGGGCATATAACCATGTGATAACGGCGTTTCCTTCAGAAATGGGCCACGTGACTCATACTGGAGCGTAACGACGCCCGGACACTTTTAAAACGGGTGTAAGTGTGTGTGGGGGTTGTGTCCACTTCGGCTCGGAAGAGCTCCATTTGTATTACGCCCCTTCCTACCCTCATCTAATATGCCATTTACGAGGCTTGTGAGCCGTGTTGTTAGTTACATAGTATGATTTGATTTGAAGTACCAAAGCGAAAGAAGCCCGTTATGAAGTCAATGGAATAGACTAACAGATGAAGCAATGTAGCGTACCGGTAGATGGGAACATAAGTTGCCGCACAGATTTCGAAGGGATTACGCGGATCGTAGGACAGTTGATGTGCGTCTTCGAAAGGTGAGGCTGCTTCACAAGCCCGCAATATTTTTCTCGTCTGATTAGCCACCTCTAGTGATGGGGCAAGATCTAGCAAACGATGAGCCATCGCCGAGGCAGAACGGAAATTTTTCAACTTGAACAGCAAATTTAAAGCAGTGCGGAGTGTTAGAATCAGGTGAGGAGTCTCCAAACGACAATGCGTGAAGTAACAGGCTAACTCTGCGTTGCGGATCTGAAAGGAGCAAAAACTGATGCGTTAAGTGAGCAAATAAATAAAAAACGAGTGTCATGTTCTTTGCTAACGCGAGCCACCGTCAAATGAACCTGGTTATGCTGATTTACTAATTTTACCGGGCTGCGATATGAGAATACATCGAAGATGCTAACAGAGACATTGTTCATCACCAGTCCACTCCCGTCGTTGTTCTACACCTCGCTATATCATCCATTCTCCCAGTGAATGGCATTGGACAGACAAGGTGAACTGTAAGGGAGTTCGGAAACGGAGGCAGAAATAAAGTTGCACTGCAAGGTATACTGAGGACGTTATGAACCAAGTCATTTAGGCTACGTTACCGTGTCGCAGGAATATTTAAAAACGGAAAGTTTCAACATGGCTTCACGTAATAGGGAATTGACAGCAAATGAGCCATCGTAACCCGATCAACCGGACTACTTGAGTCAAAATACAACCAATAGTAAGAAGGAGGTATTATACCAGAGGTGTAGGTGCGTGGGTGCTCTACACTGGTGCATCACAATTACTCAATTGCAAGCGGTTAAAAGCGAGAGGAGCTAATGCATGAGGCGGAACTCGAGTTAGAAATGCGCAGACTTCAAGCTGAACAAATGAAATACGGAACTGCTGTACAAAAAGGAGAGCAGTAGTAGAGCCAGAAATCTCAAAAAATGGGTTTCGCTGTGACCAAAAAGAAGAGTAAAAAGAGCGCAAGTCCGGCAAACGGTATCGTAGATTTGTACTGAGCGGGGAATCGGTGGTGGCAACTCCGTTGACAAACTTTCTTGAAATATCCTGACTGACTGGTACCCCTCTACAAGTGGCGTGCCTCAAGGCACTGTGCTGGGGCCCACTCTGTTCCTGATCCACATCAACGATCTACCGCAGCTTCTCCGGTCGCCGTGTGCCTTGTTTGCGGACGACCTGAAGCTTTGAAGAGAAATTGACGCTCCCGATGACTATGACCTACTACAGCAAGACCTCAACCGCCTATCCACATGGTCTGCAGAAGTTCTTCTCCCGGTCAACCCAGCCAAGTCGGTATTTATGAGCCTGGGGAAGGGTGCAGACGGCCGAACCTACACCCTTGACGGCCAAACGTTATATCCCACACCCTCCGTGAAGGACCTAGGGGTACTCTCACGCTACGATTTGAAGTCCGTGGACAACACGAACAGGCTATATCGGAACGGACTGCGCATGCTTTGGGCGCTCAAACGTAGCTTCTGCACATGGTCTGAAGAGGTTGCCACTCGCCTGTTCTCTTCTATCATTAGACCAATGCTAGAGTACGGTTCGCCCGCCTACTTTCCGATTACCCGAGGCGAGGCACAAAAGATCGAACGGGTCCAACACGTTGCTACCAGGCTCATCCCGAGTTTACGTGGCTTTGGGTATGAAGACCGGTGCGAGAAACTAGGACTCTACACCTTGTCCTACCGTCGGGTGCGAGTTGACCTCATTATGACCTACCGAATTCTACATCTCGGTGAGTTCCCCATGTTAAGGCCAATGCTGCACTTACGAGGGCCATGCAGCACACGCGGACACAGATACAAACTTGTTGTGCCGGATATGAAACGTGTTCCCCACCCACTGTGCTTCGAACGGAGAGTGGTAAACATTTGGAATAGTTTGCCCGAACATGTGATTGAGGCAACATCGGTGCAACAGTTCAAAACGTTGTTAGATTTGCATTTTGCCTCTATTCGATTCAGAGAACGACTGCACACTTACGATGACATCACATTTGTGAATCCTGAAATATCGTAAGTCGCATATTTTAAATATTACATGAGAACGACAATGATATTCAAGGTTGACAACTTTTATAACGTTTTTCGCCATATCTCGAAAGAGTTGTACAGAATCCATTTCTACTTGCTCTATAATACAGTATTCAGTATTCAGTATCCTCAGAACATCTAGTTCACTATTGTTTTAAGTGCTATTGTTAATGCGAAAACTGAGTGAGAACCACAATCGCCGAATCAGATTGAGCGTAACAAAACAAAGGCTATCAAGAGTGAGGATAATTAACATTACCTGATCTGCGACAGTCTCCCTCGGCATAGCCTTCCTAGCCAGCTCCAAAGATAATCCGAGAATGTACTCTTTACAGACGCTAATCAAACGTTTGGCTTCGGATTCTTCGGCTGCCGTATCAAGTATCAACAGAGGCACCGATAAAAGAATCGTCCGAAATCTGTCGATTGCTTCTGGAAACTTTCCCTTCGTTGTAAGCTGATAAGCGGACTGAAGACGATTGACGAGATTGTTCAATGTCACCATCAGTGTTGGAAGGGACGTGTTTTCAGATGCCTTTTTCCTGGAATGCAGTGGAATCAGAACGTGTGTCAACTTGTCTTGCTTGGAAACATGATCTAATCCATCAGCAGAAATATGATATGAGGATGCGGGGTCTCAACACTCATGATGTCAATGCAGTTTGTAAGCAGCAGGACTTCTTACGACAAATAATCACTAGAAGTCACATGCATCTCTACGGAACCATACGTGTAAGACGAAGCTGGTTGTGCGACACAATATGGTAATAGTGAAAGGCGGAATATCTAAAACTGGATGACACATTGAGGGCTGCCTTACCAATTGCGCTGGGGATAGATAAACAGCGAAGGTGTCGACGGTAGGCCCGGACAAATGGAACGAGATGCGGAGTACAGCGATGCGAACAAGGATCGATAAGGCTCGAACACCACGACCCCCACCTACGAAAAGGCGAGAATGGAAAAGAATGAATCCAGAAGTACGGCGTGAAACTACAGGAAGTCGGACTACAAGGGCTCTGGACGCACATACAATGTGCAACAACAGCCAGACTACATGGATTGTTGTAGTAAGAAAATAAGCCGAAATTCTACCAGGTGTTTTTGAATCTTTGCGGTCAAAATGAGCAGAGCGGCGAGAGCGATTGACCGAGAGAGAGAATATGGTTGGATTTGAAACCGCATACAACAGAAGGAATATTTCCCAGGAACAATATACATACCGATGAAGAAAGTGCGCAAGATTTAAGAAGATAATGTGGAGAACAACCTTACTTGGGCATTGAGTAACCGCATTGCTTCTGCATAGTTTCCTGCCATTATGTGATCTGCCGGAAACTTTGAGTTATCAATCCAAAACTGCGAAGGAAGACGGCCGGCAGGAGGATTTACGAAAGTATCAATGTCGTTGACAGAAGTGACTTTCTGCATGGAGGTAATTTCAGGAGGGAGCTCTAGATCAGCATCACCGAGGTCCCAACCCTCGTCACCAGGGCTCCCTGAGGCAGATACCGCAGTGACATCATCACCTTCCACTGCATCCGCGAATTCGTCTGTTTCTGAAAGAGAAATCCTGTGTTATAAAAGAAATTGCCTTGGGATACCATTCGTATTCTTAGATAAGCACTCACCGTCTAGATCCAGTTCGGCATCCTTTCCCCAGGCAGCCTCTTCTGCTCCGTCGGTTAACATCAATGATATGCTTTTGTTGGTTGGACCAATTACTTTGAGAGGACCATCTTCCATAACCGGAGGTTTCAAAATGGCAGAATGTCGTTGTGCCATTGCAGCTTCAAACACATCAAGCTGTGCACTTAAAAGTGGCCAGTTTGGACCAAGTGAAGATGCTGAAGCATTGATTTTGTCCGCGCGTATGATAGGTGGGCATGGTAGGCAAAGTTGAGCATTAGGATCCACGGTTGGCAATCTGACAGGCTTTTCTGGTCGTTCTTGAGATTTCAGTTGTTCTCGCAGTTCGTCAGCTTCTTTAGTTAAACCATGAGTTGCCGCAGTTAAGTATGCAAGGGCGGCTAAAAAGCGAAACATGGCGAGATTTTAGTGATAGGTAGAAGGAACAATCATGGCCGACGATGTGACAGTAGGTTTTTGCCAACTTCGCCGAACTTTGAGTGGAGGTGCAAATATGTGTACTCACACAGAGTGGGTGCAAATAATCGCCAAGGGTGAAAAAGCATGTTCCGAAGGTGATTGGGAATTGCACCGATTTCGGAAAACGCTATTCTTTGGATCAAAATACTGAATTCAGATGTCAGTCGAGCATATTCTACACTTAAGCTGAAAGCTATACACCCGAGCGGATAAGCTTTGACACAGATTGTGCGCACATCAATAATTTCACCAAGAAACGTTCGACAAACATAGGATAAAGCCGTTGGCGAAAGAGGTATTGGTAAGCACTGCTTGAGAGAACGGCTTAGACCTGTTACTACAAACATTTAATTTTGCTTTAATAAACGGTAAATACAAGACGAAGAGTGTCGCGAGGGGATCCTGATACAGAGTCCCTTCTTCTTGCGCCTTCTGAATGATCATATAATTATGATTAAGGAGTATATATGTATATAATTATTCAGAAGGTGGGGGGAAGAAGAGGAAGAAAGAGCTCTGTACAGTTGTCGTAAAAAGAAAACCGAACATAACACAGATAAATCCATGGTTTCTTCAGAGGGTAGGATACTATCCGGTCGCACAAGCCGAGGTATAGTGTTAACTTTGGGGACACCATCCTGAATCTTATGCTAAATAGCCTACCTGCAAGGCAGCGGGGCGAATTCAGAGAATCGCATCCATTGGGAACTGGTGACTGATTGCTCAGTTCATATAGGGGCCCAAACTTCCTTACGATTACAACTTCGCATTCCTGGAATACAAAGTCTTCGGTATAAAAGAAAAATAGGTCCCAGTTACTGAGTAGTTCAACTCGGCTGATGACAATAATCCCGGAACATCTCCGTCAAATGCGGGAATATAATCATTGTTGAGCAGCTAGATGGCTCAAAATTAGTCACCTCAATCTGTTGGAAAAGGATGGCAATTGTCTAAGCAATTACAGCATTGTGTAAGAGAGACGCAATAGACATTGAGGACTACAAGTCACCGGGAACACAGATTGTTTGCAAACAGAATGCAACGTTGTGGTTATCAACCGAAAGATCATGATTATTTGGACGCTGTTATTAACAACGGATGACTGTGAAAGGAACAATAGACATAATGATAACCATGTGTACTGGAAGACGACAGTAAACAGGAGGGGTTGGTGTGGAGATATTTAAACGACGGGATTGCTGGATTAAAGCCACCAACCATGTGATTGAACGAGAGATCTGCAGATCGACTATGCCCTAAGCAAATCTACCCGATCAGCACAGTGAATTCCCCGCAGATGAGCGAAAGCACTGTCGAGTGGACAGGCAGCGTGACACTCAAGCGAAACACTCCAGTTTACTTGAGTTGTTGATAATATGAACGGAAGTGCAGTGCAAAATAAAAATGGATTCACCATAGAACACGACGTCTTGGAGCAGACGACTACTCTGGTAAGGGAAAACAACAGGTTGCCTCTGATAAAAATCCTTAAAAGGACTACCCATGTGCTACATCGTACGGTTATCCGATCGGGTCAAAACTCGGTTTGAAACAGCTTGTAATACCCGGTCGCACTTTGGTCGGTAACAGTACTTGCGACTCATCCAGGAAGTTGGAATGGCCTTGACAAGCACATAGAAGTGGAAATCGTTAGTAGAATTAAACCAAATTCCCTTTACAAAATGAGCACTCTCTAACCATGCAGCAGGGAGCACAGACCGAGCAAAGTCAATGACTTAAATGGATTAACGAACTATCTTAAATCACCAACCCGAAGCCTAAAGGTAACGAGCTTTTCTTGTAATCTGACGGCGTGGGTTCGAGCCTGCGCAGAGGCAGGGCGACGTTCGCAGTATCCTGACCGACGTGCGACCGGTGGTGGTTGCGCGGCAGCGAAGCGTCGGTAATGCGTACTGCCGATGTCTTCTACTACTTCATTTTCCACACAACAAGCATCTAAAGTGTAAACTGCAACAGTGGGTGTAAGTGGTCGCATTGCAAACAGTCGCCAAATCGCTAGTAAATACCTGCTCACAAGCCCCACAAATGGAACGATATAAGGACTCCACAACATGTTCGTGCAGAGTCCTCTTTGTTGAGGAATGTGAGTAGGCGTGCAAGATTTTGAGTGATGATCCCGCGTTCCCACCGAGCGATTCTCTTGATAGAATTGAGAGGAAAAACAGAATCCGAAAGCATCTGAGTGAATAAGAGATGGCGGTAAAACTGGATGGCATCAGACCAGTCTAAGAATACACAGAGGAAAAGGAAAGAACGCCATCGGATTTGTTGGAACAATGAGAATTGTGACGAAAAGCGCATGCAGTAAGTGATAAGGGAATGAGGACCACGAATACTATTTTGGAAAAAGGGACTATAACGATGCACTTACTTTGTCCGCTGTTGCGCAAAACTTTGATGCGTTCGGCGACGTTTCCAAGTAACAAAGCAATTTGGTAATGGCTTGATGTATCTTTACGGATCTCAGCTGTTAAATAATAAAAACAAGGCAGTGTAAGTAGAACAAAAGTCAAAGGAATGGAGTGACACTCGCATAATGCGAGCAGAGACTTCGCGGGATGCTGACTAGAAGGAAAGTATGATGAAAGAAATTAAGCAATGCAGCTCTGCATTATCTCACACTCGCCATTCCTATTGACACGACTTCAAGTCTTGTGCTCCTTTGAGTTTGCACACGATAACGGACAAGTGTGAGTGGAACTGAAGCCTACTACGGTTCACAGGTAGTGGACAACGGCTTGCAGACGTCCAAATACATGCAAATTTCGTAATAAGTTTCAATTTTTACGTTTTCACAAAAAATGGGATGCACCGACAAAGACTGCATGGTAGACAGCATTAGAGTATATCATCAACTATGCATGCATTAAGAAAAGTTGATTTGCGAGCAAATAGGAATAAATTCATGACAAAAACAATTGAAGTGAGCTCCGATCATTAGAGCAACTTCAACGTAACCGATTGGCGAGATGAGCGGAATAGAAATATGAGTGGCATAAAGCAGCGGCTACTCAGAAATATGATAGGAATGATGCGCACACGTGTGTTTCAGCGGACTCGGACCGGAAAGAAATCACGTAAGCCGCGACTGGTTGACGAGGTAGTTGGTATGATAAGTATGTCCATGGAAAGTGTGTAGTCATTACATGAACAAAAGTTGTTGGGCTTCCTTGCGAAGCTACATAATGCTCGACACGCTTCATCAGTTGTCCTTGTCTTGCAATTGATCACATGACGTCAAAGAAACAAGCATCGCAAACAGTGTGCATCCATAAGCTTATGATAAGGCGCATCGCATGATAAATGATGAGGTGATCTCTCTCGTTTATTGTTAACTTCTGATGTTCTCGTTGCAGAGGACATAGATGGGGTTCAAGCATAGGCTGATTTGTCTGGTGAGCGATGCGAAAGATTTTATTCAGAAGAATACGTTACCTGATGCTTAACAAAATAACTAGACGCTCAGCTGATGCATAGTAATCCTCTAGGTTCAAAGCTAAAAAATATGCAACTTCAGCGGTAGCTTTCAGATGAAAGTGCAAGAAAGTTAAAATCAACATCCTAAGCGTAGGGCAGAGATGAAAGATATCAGCTGTTTCAATGCAATCAATCACTTAGTCGAAGAAAAACCCAAAAAATATTATAATACATCAAGAATAAAAATGTAGATGGAGCGGATGGGGGTTAAGCAAGAAGAGGGACAAAGAAAATCACAAGATGAATGCCATTGAGGTCGGATCTTCGCCTTGTTAACAGCGCCCTAATCAGATGTGGTCATCGCTTTTCAGTCCCGAACTCGGATACTGAGTGGTACCAACCAAGAACACGTTCAAATTCAGTCTTCGTTCCTCTTGATCAACTCATTGACTGGCTTCACCTCATCTTCCAACCAGATGACAGACGCACAAACAATGCAGGTCGCCGGAGCTGGTGCTGAGATGCGTAACACTTAGCTCAGCCACCGGAGCCAGATGTAGGAACTAGCGATGCTGAGGGATTCATTGCCAGGCGCAGTACGCGCCCATGTGATGCTCCCACCAGGTATGAACTAAACTGTAAAATCGCTGGTGTGCAAGCGAAGTTAGCCTCCTTAGATCTGTCCATCTTATGTGCAAGTATTCCTAGCCGTGTACTAATGCACGGCAGCATTAGACTTTACTTTTCATGGCGAGTGTGATGTTGCATTGGCGCCATAAGTTGCAAGATCAGCAAAAACAGCCGGAGCTTTGTTATACGCTTTGTACCCTCATTTTCTATTCCACAGGCGCTGACAGTTGTGTAGGTAGTTGAAGTTCTGAATGACCTCTGGGTGATCCCCACAGAGTGGTTTCTGCCTATCATAGAGGAAATCTTTGTATTTGGATGGTGCGAAAGAAAGCCTGAAATGTCTGACAGTCAATGCTAGTGTCCAACGCTGTTTGGCAGGCTTATAATCTATCGCAGATAGTATCATCAGCGTACTACAAGTCGGAAGATTGACCACCTGGAAGCAACAACATACTTTCTGAGTTGAATCCAGTGAAAGCAGTTTCCATAAGCACCAACATCAAAGGTGAAAAGGAAAGGTGATAGCTAACATCCTTGTGTCGCGGTGCTGGAGATATTGAAACGTTCCAACAGTTGGAGACAAGAGCTTGTCCTATCCGAACGATACGCATAAAGAGTTCCGATAATATTTCAGCACCTCCCGGGCACATCATTGCTAATCCCAGTCCCAAAGGGCACTTCAAACCACCGAACCGAAGATACCTTCGACGTCTAGGGACACGACTACGGCGGGTCGACAATTGTTAGTGGGGACACTCAAACTGGTTAGATTTAGAGAATCAGTGGTTACCAAGCTGAAAGTTTGAAAATTGACAGCTCAGCTGAGCAGTCCATGACCGAGTCAATAAGGGGCTCTTGCTATCAATATCTATCAAGATGGGCTGCGTGGACCTTAACTGTGATGAGTGGGCACTTTCTTCGCCTAAAGGGAACAAGTCCTGGTTACTTATGTAAATATTGTCAGGAGTTATTGCTTTTCATTTTCTCTGCCCGAAGTAATCTGCTGGTGTACGGTTCACATCGAACTGGATTTCACATTGCACGATATTCATCTTGAGGTAACAAGTTATACCGAACAATCTGCATAAAAATAGAAAAGCTGGAATGAGTGACGCATTTTTCATGGTGTAGGGCGACAAGAGCACAAATATCTACGGACAAACTATCCGGTTGGAAAAGAGACGCGTTAAACGCAGTCGAGAAGTTTATCCATGTTTTTATTTCGTTGATATGCTCGAGTGCACAGTAAAGCGACAGCTTGTGTGGAGCAGTCACGCGCCGACAAAGATAAACTTCAATCTCAGGTAGTTGGTATCATTAAGAGATTATGGTGGCTATGCAGTGCGGTCTTTGGGGGGGAAAATGCGCAAGGTGGACTTGAATTTGATGAGTACCAAGCAGGTTAACCATTTCCAAGAGAATAAAGCTTCAATCGCTAGTGGTCTATCACGTCTTGGCCTTGGGCGAATATGGATCACACTGGAATCAGTCGTCACTAGAATAGTAGCTTAGCAGGCACTGAATCACCAATGACAGCCTACTACATACAGATGTAGCGACTTCGTCTTTCAAGCTGACAAGTGCATATATGGTTCCGGATTTGCCTGTCATTGCAGCCTCCATAGGAGAGTCACGGACGCCTGGGCTTACAGAGAGACCACGGGTAGCCAGCGATGCACCATCCACAGCTCCATCAATACACACTTTACCCAGTGCAAACCCGAAGGAGTAAGATCGGGAGGCATGTGGATGGGAGCCACATTTCATCAACAGAGCCGGCCCACACTCCTTCAACATGTACAGCAAACAGCACGGTCACGAGGACCGTGTACCTCGTTCCTCAAGCAACGAGCAACTATCTTCTAGAGCCAGTGCAATCAAGGTAGCGGTTTTTTGACAAGTAGTAACCAAACACAGCTACACGGAAGATATTAAAGAACTAACACAGAATTTGAAAAAGTGAACATGCAAAACTGACATGGAGCATGCAGCAGAGTAGAAGAACAGAGCAAATCAAGTAAAATGGAACACTTTATCCAGATTAAGATGATGTTGTTCAAGTGTAGTCTAACCGCGGTGAAAAAGCATAACGAATGCTACACTAGCCTCGGGATGAGGCACGATATATATATATATATATATATATATATATATATATATATATATATATATATGCGCGCGTGTTTGCGGCATTAGACATACGAATCAAGATAATTCTGATTTCGATAACGAACATCTGCAAGCCTTATTCTTAGACTGTCAATAGTCCTCATTCCTAGGTCCCCAGCCAGAAAGGTGGCTAAGCATGAGGTCGGCGATTTTATGCACTCCCGCACGCGTGGCATGCGTAGAACGTGACTTAGTCACCAAAACTGACGAAGTGAAACCAATTTGTCGGAGGAATACTATCATTACATAGGAGGTTACGTCTAATTTCATCACCATGAAATAGGTGTTGCCACCAGACATGAGCGATCCTCCTCAAACAACCATTGTCGAAGGCGGAAGGACAGTGCATGTGGTCGAAGCGAATTGGTCAGGACTCGCTACCGTGCAACAACACAGAACGGAGGAAGACACTGTAACTGGGACCCTTTAAGGAAACGGAGAAACCCCGATGATGCCACAAATGGTTCGGATTGAGAAACACCGACTGGGCTTTGGCGATACGAGGGTATACATCCCCCGCGATAGCCCCAACGGCATAATTGCGGCTCCCAAGGCGGACGAAACTATCTGCCCGTTCAAATTGTTCACTCGTAAGAATCAGCACAGGAACGGGTGCCTCAACCACCTAACGGTAATCTGCAAGTCTTAAACAAGGCAATATCATCTAGATAATTTAAGTCGGTCGCGTGCCCACATGATTGAAAGTCTAAGCCAAGATTCTGGAAGCCTACTAGAGCCATAGACAATACGTATTTAGTTACAAAAATGAATAAGAATAGAGATATAAGGTATACCTGTTGTAAACCGCTACTGATAATGAAGGAGGAAGAAAGCTTGACGCTAACACTCACCCTGCCGGAGACATAGAGGTACGCAAAGAATGGCCGTAAACTTTTAATGAACTCCGTTCCATTGCAAGCAACACTATAGAGCAGGTCGATCAACAGAATCGAATGTGGCTATTGTGTATAAGAATGTGCTGATAATGGGCCTGTAGTAGCGATTGCGATGTTCTAGTTGGCAGGAAGTGAAGATTTAGTTCTCACACTCGCTGCAGGGACGGAAACCAGATTGTTCCTCACGATAATATGTCTTACGAATTGAGAATAGTCTGAGGCAAACTACACCTACTTCCCGGAGGATATCGTATTATTGACAGACAAGGAGTTTCATTTATGTGAAGGATGTGTTTGCATGAGAGAAGCTTGAATCCGAGTTGCAAGAATCAAACGTTGTTATACAGTTAATAGGCAGAATAAGTGATCGACCAGATGAACCGGCAAAATAAAGACTAGTCTACGAGTAGAATGATTCTAAGGACAACGGCTCACACGAACTGGAAAAGTTACAGCGACTACTGGGTTTAGGATTCATGAGAGATTCTAGTCCTGGGGAAGTGAATATTGTGGCCCACTTAAAAGTAACAGCTGGAAAAGTATTTAGTGGTGAAAGCTTCTTGCAAAGTGTTTGAGTCCTAGGCGCTATCTTTGCAAAGGCATCAGCGGTATGAGGATATACCGACGCTTCGCTGCCGTGCAACCACCACCAGTCGCATTGGGCTAAGGATACGAGGGTCTCCCGGCCCCTACGCAGTTTCGAACCCGCGTCCTCGGAGTATAAGGCATGCTTGTGATCCTTAAGACTACGGTCTATGGGAGCAAGTCCTGACCAATTCGCCTGCACGACTTGCGCTGTCTTTCCGTCTTCGACAATGGTTGTTTGAGAAGGATTGCTCAAATCTGGTGGCAACGTCGAATTCAGGACGATGAAATTAGACGTCGCCTCCTGTGGAATGCGAGTATTCCCTACAATAAGTTGGTTTTGCTACGCCAGTCGAGGTGACTCAGTTACGTTCTATGCACGTAACCCGGGCGTTTACTGCGCCGTACCCTATTCGCTCATGTAGTGAGAGGCAACTGCGTTGTTTTCAGTTTGCCGATTCGTGGCATGTTGAACGAACGAAGGCCAATCAAAGGTGTTTTTACGTTTAAAAAAGTTAAAACGGGCATGTACTCCTCAGTTCTACAAGTGCCCAAATCGATTTCTTCCTTCCAAATAATGAACGAGACGTCCAGTAACTGGTCAATGAAGAACGACATGGATTTCAATCACGGCCAACCCCCAAACTGTCAGCCAGCAAGAAGTATATTTGCTGTCATTCATTTGAACGGTAAGTCAGCAATGGACAAGGTGCTGTAGATGACAATAGTCACATCAGGGACATATACTAACATTACTTATAAATAAGAAATAAATAGGTTATTCTCGAATTTATCGAGGTACACCAAAGCAAGCATGATCAAAATTTACAGGCAGTTATGTTTCGCAACAGATACGTTGCTATGTGGGTAATCGGCAGTGTCCGAAAGTTATACAGCCTACGGAAATAGAATAATTAATCATGAGAAATATAGCCGTCAGTGGATGACAATAGTTTGGGCTTAAGCGTGCGTAGTGTAAACAGTCAAGGCACTAGAAATGCAGTGAAAACGGTAGATGTAGACAGAGTCTTATTCTTGTCAAGGAAATATTAAAATATGACTAGTCGAGTTGCCAGTATGTAGCTGTGGGCAGTGATTTTATGCAGTGGCGAGTCACATCCGCCACGTCGCAGTGTTGTTAAACAGACATTTGTGGCTTTTTATAGGGAGAACGCTTGCCAGGTAAAAATCAACCAAGTCCTGGAACACTGCCGTAAATCGTTTTGAGCAATAATGTACAACAGGCAAAGCAGCTTGCCGACTGATTTCACACTCGGTTATTCGCAGTCGAATGGCTTCCAATTTCTTCTGTTGGCTTGGTCATTTCCTCTGAGAAATGCACGAGTAGAACTAAAGAAGTGACACTGCGTGAATATTCACATAGCTTAGGTACTGTTTAAGTCGCTATGGAGAGCACCATGAAGGGATTGAAATGGTTGATGGCATGTGTTTTCATTAGTCGAGAAACTTCGGGACGTGATGGGGACTCTCCGTAGCAATACGTAAATAGTAGTGCGATACTGAAAGCTTGTACAGCTTGGGGTTACATAGAAATTTCAGAGTTACTTTATTCTACCAGTATGCATCTCCTACCCACAAAAAATAAAATAAATAAATCGCCAGCTATACGCCGTAACGGCGCTTCACTGCTACGCGACCATCACCAGTCGCGCGGGCTGAGTATACCGTGAGGACGCCCACCCCTACGCGGATTCGAACCGGTGACCTTATGGTAGCAAACCAGGCGCGCAGACCACTCGGTCACCGGCCGAGCGAGCATTTGAAACACATACAAGGGTTACAGTGTTTTAAGCTGTATCACTAGTTATGGGAACTTGAACAAGATTGCAATACACAGTAAAAGCAGTAGAGTTGCCGAGCATTATCCAGTTGCAGCACAGCTGTCAATTCAACTAGCTTTTGTAGTGGTTGTGCGGTGTGATAAGGATATGCCTGTTCTTCGTGGCTATCGATGCATGTGTCAATGACGGGCATGTAAGCCAAGATGAGTGTGGATAATAAAAAAGTGTCAAAAGTTAGCCTCCGCATGCTCCGGTGGGTTCAATACATGTTCTTAGCAATAAGAAATTACCTAAATTTGTTAAGTGTACGAAGAGATTACGAACAAGCGCAACAAAGTAGACTCTGAGGACTCGAACGCTTGCCCATGGTTTAAACGTGCCCAAGAAGAAAAGTCTATGTTTGAGGGAACTAATAAGGAAACTATTTCTGGTTGGGGACGATGAAGAACGCAGATAGTAAGATTGGGTGGAATGCATTTTCGCAATCGACAATACCGCGACTGCGAACAATCAAGGGATGAGTGTGCAGATAAGTAGAGCACGGTAATCAAGAAACATCGTCTCTACATCATAAACTCATTTGGTTACCATCTGTTGCACTTAATCTTCGGTCGATTCTCGGTGTATGAGGAACAAACCAAAAACCAGAAATAGAGGTCCATCTTACCGATCGCCATCATTTTTTGTAGTTTATCCAAGTTGCCAGTGATGAGATAGAGGAATGAGAGTTTATCGAAATTCTTTGTGCGTTGATATGCCATTTCGACAATTTGATAGTTTCCCTGACGCAGAGCCAATTCCCCCAGACGTTCCCAACAAGCTTTATCGTCCAGAGTGCGAGCTGCCTCGAGTCCAACTTCAAGCTGCCCACAGTCCATTGCCAATGAGAATCGAGTGCGTGTGTCTTTGACAAAATGGAGAGCCACTTCTGGGAAGCCTTTTTGTTCCAAGTATCCGATAATAGCCTGGCCCACCAGATTGGAATTGCGCACCATGTGCAGAACCTTTGAGAAATGGAGTATCAATTTTCGGGAAAACACGTAAGCGAACCAGCTGAAATCCAGGTGTAATAAAAGGGGGCTTATAGGCATCGAATGAGCCGCTATGATGAACCACTGAGAGTGAAAGAAACCAAAAGCGACAAACGGAAAAGGGAAGTTGATAAACGAATCTAGCGAGATAAGCAAAACTATAAAAAAGGGAAAAACAACCCGGAAGGAAGTAAAAAGCACGTAGATCTGGACAAATCACAAAATCGGCGCTGTACGCAATCCTGCCGTGACTTAAAGTGAAGTCTCCGAGTAGGTAAGATAACAAAAGCGTTTACTCCTAAGCTACGGTGGCTTTCAAACGCTTAGAGTCCAATCTTACTGCGTCTAGCCAGGGTGGTATGCAAACACAGATATACGAGGTAACAACACTGAGTCGCCTTCAAAACTATGGTAGAATATAAAGGTAAATGAATGAGTAAAAGTTAGTGTTCAATTTAGAAGATAATGAAAAAATGCAGTGCGATCTGGGGATGCAGCCGCGATGATGAAAATGGTCTTTGGTGAAGAATGATACCGATGTATTAGCCGCTTAGTCGGTTAGCTGATGGCGGAGACAGATATCGACAGGGAAGAATAAGCACTTAAAGAGCAATTGGAATAGTGAGAAACTGACCTCATCGTAACGCCGATTGATCAAAGCTAGCTTGAATCTATATTCGGTAGGATCGATCGACAGAACGAGTGGAGCGTAATCTCTATCCAAACAGAATACGGAATTTCCTCGAACACGAGTAATATAAACTGGAAGTTCCAAGGTTCGAATAATGCCATGATCACTAAAACAGGAAAGATGAGTTAGGGGAGCTAGGCTAAAGCGGAAACATTGAAGTATCCCTAATGCAGTTGATAGGATAAAGTGAAAAACAATACAATAAAATAGAGGAGCGAAGACCATTCAAGCCAAGCCAAGCCACGCCCACAACCATACAAATACAAGTGTTGTTCCGGAGTCATGTTACACGGTGAACGACAAAATAAGGTGTCATATAGAATGTGAGGATATCTGGTGCCGTAGTGTGTGACGTTACCCAATGGAAAACAGAAGGCACGCAGGCAATCGATTCGAATGCATACAAAAAGGCCCACAAGAAAGCAATTCCTCAATGAAGTGCACACAGACGCGCCTGAAAGCAGGGCACCGAAAGCTCGTGTGGTTTCAACACTACTCCTATAAGAGAGCTAACTTCAAAATCAGTGGGAAAGTGGTGCTATGCGAGCACAGACTGGAGCACGTACTAAGGTGCGAATGTACTTATCAAGAAGAAAAACTAGCAAGTGAGAGATCAGACCGTGTGCAGCTTAACGTTCTTGAAATTCGGTGTCATGAATTGAACTGAGCTAACGCAAAGTTGACCGGATAACCAACAACGTCCAAGAGACTTTTGGAAAATCCCAGATGTGAAATTGATGGCGATAATGTACGACGGCCAAAAACCGGAGCGCACATAAATACTGAGGCAAAAAGCGTTTAAACCAACAACAAAGGTGTGTAATAATTATTATTATCTGCTAACTGCACGCCAACAGCTATCACCGTGCAGCAAGACAACAGAGCAGTGCACTTAGCATCGTTGCTAAGCGCGAATCTAATACAATCAAAGGCTCATTCGGTAAACAGGTTGAAGTGTGTGTTGGGGACTTGGATGTGCAAGTAGGGTGTAGCGTGGGTCATCCATGGCAAATGTAGTGGAGAAACCATAACGAGTAGAGAAAAAAGGACGATCGATTTGTACGATTAAGTCCTGACTGTAACCCCACCTCCTCCGAAAGCGGATGCTGACCATTATGACGAACAGGATGCTCTACGAGAACCATCTATGATTTAAAGTGGCTATGTCGCTGTTTACTGAGACTGGTGGATAACGCGGAACTGCTGCAGACGCTTCTGACTATGCGGCACAGAGTGCTAAACAGTCCTAATAAAGCAGTATTGGCGGAGACGGTTTGAAGTAGATGCTCGAAGGTTAGAAGTTTCGCATGGTGTCGAATAATGCAAACATAAGAATAACACCGCTATTGCGAAAACCAAATCAAATAGTTAAGGGTCCATATCAAATTCGATGTTACTAAGGATAGCTGTGATGAAGACGATGCTAGACGTCCGACCCCATCAGAGATCATTAGATTGATTTGAAAAGTACGGTTGGTGAGATCTCAATCACGTGATGGACGCAGGAAACAATATGTCGCCTCAAGTAATCTACAGCGGTTCTCTAATAGTCAAGAAAACAATTACAAGAGCCCAACTGCCATACGTGATTCCGACAACATCGGCTGGGTGTCATGTGACTCGGAAGAAAGGTTAGCTATGGAGTGATATGATTTAGTTCGGTTCAAGTAACCATGCTATTTTAAAGTATGTATATGGCGTAGTTTCAGGTGAGGACGCGTCAACTGGCGATCATCGGGGCCCACAATGGCTTGATGCGACTGAAGCAGATGAATTTATGGTAAACGGGTTCGGTGATATGTAAAAATTGCATTGATGGCAGCGCACACCGCCACGCCTACAAAGTAAACAAAAAATCAATAACACCGAAATGAGAATGCACACCGTAGGACCTCAGATTAGCTCGCGAGTACCATGATAAACAGCAAAGGGAGAATACACCGGGAAGATACAGAGCCTAAATCCGTTGCGCTCAGTGACAGCAACCCAGCGGATACAACGCCATTTCTTATCACTCAAAAAGTGATGGAGACCAGATGTGCAACAACTCAAATCGAAGTAATGTAGGTAAATCCTGCAGCGTTCGGACAAGAGGCAGCCAAAATCCGGTACAACCGCGTGCTGACTGAGCAACTAGCGAGGAAAATGCAAAGTAAAGCGAATCCAGTCCTAGACTCGGAGTCACTCATCTAACAATAATTGTCAGGATCAGAGTGAGTCAAGGATGAAGAACTGAGTATGGCAACGAACGGTGGCTATAGGAATTACCACTTGATTAAAATAAAAGCGTAAAACAGTTACACTGTACGGGTGAATAGGGAAGATGGATAAGAGACCATCATCATCGAGCCAGATGGAAAGTATAGAGAGCTTAATAGCGCAATCGAAATATCTACATGCGGGCACCTAGGTGACACCCTGAAATTGGCTCCTGCCTTTAAAAGACATGGTTCGCAATCAGCACCATTATCATGCTCGCCAACCTCGCCACATTAGGCAGCGTGTTTAAAGTGATCTTCGATCTTCGTATACTCGACCATTAAGAACAATGAAACCTTATGGCATTTAGACACATGTGCCGACGTAGTACTCTTGATTAGAATGATCTCTTGGGGACAATTAAACAGGGAATTCTTAAAAGATGGTGAATTGCGAGTCTGCCGATCTGTAAATAAGTGGGTACTGGGCGAAGCTTGAGTTGTTCTCCGAGATGCCTAATTGAGTCGCAGGGCTTCGTAAGCTCTGTGAAACAAGTGCAGAGAGTCGCACTGATAACGTTGCCTTGTCTGGCAACAAAACATTAGCAAGACAATCAGTCAGCTTGGAGAACAAGTCAAATTCCGCATTCACACCACAAGCTAGGCATATATTTCACTACGACAACGACTGTCCTAAACCGAACCATCCTGGGTAATTGCCCAATGATTTACGCCAGACTCCGAATAGCAAGGACGAGCAATGGATGCAAACAAGCCAGGGATGGAATAAATAACAAACTCACTTACCCGTTCAGCAAACTATACTTGATGTGATTACTTGTGGTGTAAATGAACACACCGTGTTCTTCCCATGCTCCGCTTTTGATCCGCACCGTCTCATGAACAGTGGCTTTAAGTTCCAATTGTCGATCACACAGATACAAGTAGAGCTTTGTGAACATGGCCACATACTGATTGTCAGGAGACCATACAACATGGCGTATGTACTGCAAGAGAGAAAAAGACCCAGCAGTCGCAATCATATGCCGCATATTTTTATACTGTAGCAACCGGGTGTGGGCACAGATTAGTAGATAGGTTAACAAGTTACATCAAACAGGTTTCAACAGAATAACAAGAAATACGGGCAACATATAAAGCCATGAGAATTCACGGATCATTTTGAGAAGGTTAAGGCGTGTTGCATGATGGGAGAGGTTTCAGTATATGTATTGCCTAGTCACGCGAGCCACTGTATCCAGTTTCAAGGAGTATGGTACAGGGAGCAGTGTAGGGAAACTATGAGAAAGTTTGTAAATTTGATGGCGGGGATGAGTTCGGAACCACAAAGTAGGAGTAAAAGAGCCGTTATTTCGCTCAAGAGCAACTAAATAATATGGGCTGAAAAAAGTAGCAAAGAAAGAGAAAGCTAATTGGAGTACATCAACAGATCCTACAACGTTGCAATGACAGAAAGCAATGAGGTATAGAGTATGTTGGCGGTAATAATAGCATAATTTCTAGTTCTCCTTAGGAGGGGGTTAGTTCAAACGACTCAAAAACGACCTACAGCTCCACACTCTGACAACGTGTATGAAGCTCAGATATTTTGAATAATATTTTCACCCGCGAGTTCCAGTACTTAGTGTCTTAATTCCTAAAGTAAACATTCAGTGGCAGATATAACACAAGACCTCCGTAAATTGGTCACTCAAGGGACTGGACCAGTGGTCAAGTTAAAGGTGGTCGACATATGGAGGCTCCATACAAAAGCTTAGCGTACCTTACTTTTCCGTTGTGAGCAGCATCCTGTTTTGAATACATTATATGGGCCGTAACATAATAGCAAACACAATTAAATTATACGGCATCGTAATAAATAAAAAAACACCGTGTGGTTTCCTTAAACAAATCATTTTTAAAAAGTCAGTCTAAGTCTGATTCTTTTCTAATCACAAAGGTAATTGAACAAGTTAGTTTAGAACTGATTAATCGATGATTAGATAGACACCTGTGTGTTCCAAAGAGTAGGCATGACGCCTGTTTGTATATGTAGACGGGCGAAGAAATGTTCGCGCAAAAGTCAATCCGTAGAGGAGGACTTGTGGGGACACACCTATACGTGCACACACTGAGGGGCGGGAGGAAAATGTATACACAAATACTCAGACAGAGAATATGATGTATCGTAAAATGCCTGTGGAGCCGTATAGTCCGGTGATTTGGGTCAGGAGAATTTCGCACATTGCAGAATCCAGCTGCATACACATTATCACTTGAGCAAACAGCCGTTCGGCGACCGGTGGGCAATAAACCACCATATGCTCAAGTTAAAGGTCATATCAATAATGACTGCTATAACCTAAGCGGTCAACATGCAACTTAGAGAGATTGTAAACATACAGAAGTCTGGTTCCATAAGTTTTACGTGGTGAGCGTTCAAGCTATCAGATAACGGTCAACTTAGAAAGGTGGTCAGCATATAAAGGCGGCCAACCTAGGATGTTTTACTGTATAAGGTTTGCGCGAAGACCCATGTTGGTTAGTACTGGAACCGAGGACAATGTCCGCAGACTACAGAGCAAACCGCAATTGGGCAGTCAAACGTACTAATGCCGCAAGTGGATCCGGTCACATGAAACCCGCACGGCCACTTAAATTGCGCGTAATTATGGTAGTAGCACAAATTGTCCGTGAGACAACGTATCAAACGTGGGTAATCACTGAGAGAAAAGGAGTTTGAATCAGTTAGAAACCGCTAAAAGAACAGCCTCCTGGGCACTTGTATCAGCGCCTGTGGAACAGAAGATGAAGTAATAAATCGTACAGATAAAGCTCGGAACGCTTTAGCACGACTTCGCAACCGGCGCGACAGCACTCTCGCTCTGAAGGGTAGAGTCTACAATGTATCCATACGTTAAACCCTCATGCAGGTTGTGAAACTACGTCTATCAGAGCGACAGGCATAGTCTAGTTGCGCTCGATCACAGGTTCCTTCGCAGTTTAGCTCATGTGTGGTGGAAAAGCGGTGTGAGCAATAACAATGCTCAGCGTCCTGTAATTGGTACAGGAAGAGCCAGTGAAGCGTTTAGCACCGTTATTTCAGGCACCAAGCTCCAGTGACTGGGTCACGCATTACGCGTAAGCCCATCGACTCCCACGACCTGCATTATCTGCGTGACCGGGGTCTAGGTGGAAGAAGACAAGGAGAGAACAAGTGATACCTGGTCAAGAGAAATGAAACCCGTCATTTCGAATTTGGCTTCCGTAGGAGCACCTAGAGTTCCTGGATGGGGTCCAAAAGACGAAGAACACGTTTGCTTGGAGACACTGATTGACATGGTGAAGAGCCTCCCTCTCCAACCAAGATCTCAGTGTTGATGCATAATAATAAAGCATTATATTGTTTCCTTTTTGTACTTTTTATTACGCACTGTTTTGTATTTTTCGAATATCTTACTGCGCTGCATTGCGGCACAATAGGTGGGGCTAAGGTGTAGAATGATGAGCATGATGACACCATCGAGTTCATTGCACATGCATCAAAGCAGAAGCGACTAGAGTGAGTCAAATGATACGAAGCTATTCTGGAATTAGTGCGTTCAATGGATTAATGTGCATAAACCTCCCAGCGAAAATGCTATGCAACATACCTTGGTGTTCTTCAGGGTGGCCAAAGTTCGTTTGTTGATCACGTCGCACAGGCTGATTCCACTGGAATCGCGGATAAGAAGATTCCCCGTGCCCGCATAGAAGAAATGATCCACGCCAGAAAGACTGACTCGCTTCACTTTTTCGTTTTGCAAGTTCTTGATGAGAATCTAGAAGATTTGGTAGAAAGTGACGAGATCGCATCGAGGTAGAAAGCAATAGTCATCGAAAGAACAAGTAGTGTGCGTAATGTCTGAAACGCCTTGGTCAGCGACCGGGAGGTCTACGTCAGATAACATTAATCGGATTAAGATGAAACGAATCAAGCTGAAGTAAGCAGCGTTTAAAATTTTATTTACAAATAAAGGTTGTTCGTTTTAATTATGCATCGTTTAACCAAAGCACGAGGTTTACATGAAAAGAGAAAACGAAAGAATGCACAATACGTTTGGGTAACATGACGTGAAAATGTATGGGATAAGTGAATCAGAGAGAATGTACGTGTGTAAAGATAACATTCCAGCCGATATAGACAGTATTGTGGCCGCGTGCGTGACCGATGGACTCAATGCACTCGCATTGTAACCGAGACTAAGCCGATAACGCAAAACTTCTGAAGATAAGGTGGTTAGCGATCGTTTTCGTAAACAGAAGTAATCTTTGCACCCACACACACACATCGAATACCTGACACCCGGGCTATTATCAGTGCTCAAAGAAGGGTGAGCGAATCCAAGAAGGACTCGTGTATGAAATTGCACACGGAAAGAGCAGCTCAAACACATCGACAGTGTTGCATGTTTCCACCCGGTCGCCTGGTGCACGATCAACCATCGAAGGGAAATCAGTGCGCTATGGCTGGCTAAAAGATCAGGGCATGAATAGTTTGTGTGGGGATACAAATCTGCCAAAGTATTAGAAACGTGGACTCCAAACAATGGGCGTAGATTGCTGAAAGTTTACTACGGTCAATTCTCCGGCACCGATAGAACCAATGAAGGAAATTCTGGCTGATCAAGGAGATACCAGGCTTGTGTCAGGGTAACAGATAGTGAGTTGACGAGTACTGATAGCCATTAGTTGAATATGGTGATACCACTAGTAAGAGGGTAGTTGTCGAGCGATTCCAACAAGCATACATCAGTAGACCTCCGCATCTCAGTGAAAGGACGTTAATCGATTAAACTTTGAGTGATTTAATCAATTACCATGCGAAAATCTCTGAAAGATTGTTAAATTGGGTACAGCAACAAGCCTGAATAAGATGACCAAGTTGGGGTTCAAAAAGAGCGAAAAACCGACATGAGTAACTTACCGTCCCTGTGCTCTCCAGCACTGCGAATTTGTTACGTCCAACCCATGCGATTGCACAACCGGTCCCAGATCGAGCGTCAGTGTTTTGCACTTCGCTTGTGGATGTGGCTTCACGGGGCAGCATGTACAGATCATAGACTATAGAGGGAGGGGAGGAAAGCGTAGAGCTGCCAGAGGTGCCGGAATCTGGGTCCCTGCCTCGACTCAGTACAATGGCTGCATTCTCGATGGGATTAAACGCCAGACTCACAGCAGTTCCTCGTCCTCTGAAATGGAGTGGACGAAAATTTAGACTGGGGCAAAAAACAAGAAAAAATATAAAGAGAATCAATTTCGCCGGTTCCTCCAAGTAGACGGTACACTGGTCATATAGTTAAGTATCGTTAAGTGCTGAAACAACGATATTTATGTTTCGCATTGTCGAAGTAAAAAGTCCACTTACGCTGATAAGCACTGACACAAAGTTTGACCCAGATTTAGTCAAACAGGAATGTTTTTGGTGTTGTCGACATTCGAACGGTGAGCTAGGGAAATGTCATGTTGCAATGAAATATCCATGCTGCGAGGGTTGGGGCCGTGCGGTTCAATCATTAGGAACGGAGAGTGTCGTGATTGGTGCAGTTATCCATTTCGCTTTAACGCCGTAAGCGAAAATGTCTCTACAGTTTCGATTACTTAGAATGTATAGGTATTGTTTAGTGACTGATTGGCAAACTTCGAGTATGCGGGCAATGAAAATCGCAAATCCAGCCCAACAGCTGCGTAAGTACCTCCGAATAGATCGTCAATGTGACTCGGCATGTATTTCGCACCTTCAAATGTAAGGCAGTGTTGAGAGACCGAAGTCGCACACTCACCATCACCCCGCAGTCACTAGATGCAGTTGAGCGGTTTAGATACGAGGGCAGTTGCATCATTACTGGAAGCCAGATCACCAGAGATTACCGAGAAAATCGGTGATGCCCGCGTGGCACTCAAGTACTCAATCATAAAAAGAGACGGCACGATATAAGCAGTAGGAATGGAGACAGAGAGTACAGGGTTCCGTGTTGAGGACACTAGTAAATTATACCTACTAGGCCACCGCAGACTACACAGCATCCTTCTTATAGGATCGGACCAAACTAGTAACCAGAGCTGTGGTGAGAGGTAACCAATGCTTCGATTTAATAGTGATCATTATTGCAACGAAAATACTTACATGCAATCATTAACAGCATTACACATATAAAGTGAAAGTGTGAAACACACTTCCACTAGTGTGTCCAAAAATAAAAAGATACATGAAAAAGGGAGATATAAAACGTGACAGAATATGATATAAAAACGAAGGAAAGCGATAGGAGGCTAAGCGCCATATTACGCCTCGGTTGTGAGATCGTGGTTGAAGAGAGAGGGAGAGCTGCAAAGAAACTCACAACACAAATGCACTGAAGTTGGCTATTTGAGTTGCCGAAAGGTGTACCCAGACAAACGTGTACATGGTTCTTCGGGCCTCAGCCCGAGAATCGAAAGGGACCAACCAAAGCCAAGTTCGAAGTGATGGGCTTCATTCCTCTTGACTAAGTAATCGCCTGGTCTCTTCTCGTTTTCTGCCACCCACACCCCCGGCGCGCAAACAACGCACGTCGCGAGAGTCGGTGTGCTGGCATGCGCCAAACGTGGTCCCGGTACCGGAGCCTGGAATGTGATTTAATGGTGCTAGTCATATTCCCCAGGAGCTTAACGGTTGCAGACATCGGTGCGTACTGGTTGGTTGGGCGAAAAATTAGGATATTCAACCAATGACGAAGCGAAGAGGTGAAAAGTGCCCGGAAAGATGAGCTGAATAAATGCGTACCGCTGCCCATGGGGTCGGTTCCCTTGGTGATTAGAGGTTCCTACAGACACAACGCAGTGAAGAAACAAACAATGCTATTACATTCGTTCCTGTTACGTAGCCGGTAACTTGTTCGGTTAACGACATATTTTTATAGTTCTATGGATGCTGATTTGCTTGCCATAATTCCATCCATCTCCACATATGACAATCATTTGTGCGCCGAAATGTAACAAACCCATGTTTGAAGAAAGAAATGAGAAGATGACTATTGGCAGATGCTAGTATTTCGTATTATCTCGTCAGTACCAATACAAAAACTGGGAAATCTTCTGTAAATCTCATAGGGCAGAGTCAAGCCAATCAAATTTATGGTTGTGGTCATCGTTGTTGGCATTAAGACCGCGGCAACCGTACGTTGACAACTAATTGCTTTTGGACACATAAGACTGGTCTAATTCGGTTTATCGCGACGGCCAGGGCAAAGCGCAAAAAGCGCGAATCTGTATGACGCAACAAGATCCGGAATGCCGATAAGGGATTAATCTAGTGACGAGTAGCCAGGATGTGCCTGCCTAAGGAAGACGCCGGCGGCTTACGCGAGCACGTATCGTCGGAGGTGGATTGAGTAACTGCGTGCTGAACCCAGTTTGGTTCTGCCGACGCAAATGATTCCCTGGTCATACACGAATTGGTAAACAAAATGTGATTTGGCGCCGACGGGTTCATCTTCCTTTAATGAAGGTAACGGCGACTTTCGGGTTCTGTTGATAATTACCGCGTCCGCAGCAGAATATGTACGCTGAATGGCCGAGACTATGCATTCAGTTGTCCTTCTTACTGAAGTGTCACCCTTGAATGGTAGCGCGATGTTTTTTCTTTGGGGCTGTTAACACTATTTCTTTAGGTATTCTAACCTGGCTATGTTTGTTTATGAATCGCTTTGGGTAACCATTCTCCATAAACGATGACCACAACCACAAATTTGGTTGGCTTGACTTCGCCCATTGAGACTTAAAAAGGATTTCCCAGTTATTGTATTGGTTCTGACAAATAATACGAAATGCCAACATCTGCCAATATTGGTCTTTTTATTCGTTTGTTCAAACTACTGAAGGGAACTAACTGTTTTAAACCCGTTTCTTGACTCTGGCTGCCAAAATATGAGTAAAAACGAAAAACTCAAGAGAAATAGAAAAAATGGAGGCAGTCACACAGTCGGTTAAGTAACGGATGTAACAGACACAAACATCTGGACTGTACTGTGGTTGGTAGGGTAGCTAAGCACTGAGACTGATGATCCCGACGTGCACATCAAGGGAGGCGACAGGTACTAATCCTGTTAATCGCCGTTGAATTTTCGCATGCTTCTTCGCTACCTCATTGACTGCGCAAATCGGAACTTCACGCGCTATATGGGGTATTAGCAAATGCAAATGGAGACAGTCGGGTTGTAGGTATATGACCCAAATAGGGTAAAGGAACGGGGCTCAAAAGACACAAGGGATGTCTTAGTAAACACCAAGTGATAGACCTAAATGTTATCTATTCGAGGATAACAATCAGACCCCAGAAAATAGTGCGAAGACTCAAGTGCTCAAACGTGGTCAGTTCTTGATATCCTCAGAGTGATTTGCCCATGTCTTCGATCTAAACGGTATCATTAAGTGCAAAGCAGTGTTGTAAGCCAGTTTCACAATCAATAACTATGTATCCCACCGTTTGCATAAGCGCTTTCCCAGTGTATACAGTAAAGGCGATAGTAGTAACAGCAACATGCTGGCCCACAGTAGGGACGCTTCGCTGCCACGCAACCACCAACAGTCGTGCGTCGGTTGAACGTACTGCAGGGGCGGCCGCACTTACGCAGATTCGAATCAACAGCTTTTGGCATGCGCCTTATCCCTTAGCCATCGGCCGGTTAGTAGACGCGATACAGTTAAGTGAATTAATTAACCAAATCGAGGGGGTACTCAATAATTTTGAGCATGGGGAGTGTATCGGTCAAGCTTTGTACTTGACGATGAGATGGATGCGCCAAAGCAGGTAGCAAAACGCGCCAGCCTAGTTAGGAGCGCATGCATAGCGGATGGGTCCGATACGGAGACTATCATCATTAAAACAACTACTGGGGAGACATTGCGTGGCAACTGGAGTCCTCGCGTACCCGATCCCAAATACAGTTGAATAGAATAAAGGGAAAATATTGCCAAACAAGCTAACGCATAGATAAATTAACTTTGGCATATATTTTGTGCTACTCAGGAACGAGCCAAAAGTCTAGGAATGCAACATCATCACATTGTACGTGTTAATTAAAGGTGAGAAACACGGTTATTTTGCCGCAATAAGGGATGAGTGGACATGCCAGCATTCATAACAAAGGAACTTTCATAGGTGTCCCGTGAATCAACGTCTCTGAGAAGCTATATGACGTACGGGAACCATCTTGTTAAGATCAATGCGGCTACTCAAAATCTTAATCATTCACGGAGGAGGCGAGAGATAAGTCGATCGGCCAAAGGTAGGGAGTGAAACGTGGTAGTGAGGATAGTGTCCTTGTACGGGTAAGGTGTGTTGAGGGCAAGAGTTCGGCTGTCATCGCACTCCGCTGTTTTCGAGTCATGGTAATCATCTAGCAAGAGCGCCAAAGCAGCAACGCCGAAGTCCGAGAGGTGGTGGTTGACGACAGACATTTATGGACTATGCTGTACTGTTGCTGCAACAGGATCACATACAGACATCAAATCGCGCTCCTCGCATAGCTGCCAAGTGGCTGCCTAGGTCAGAGACAAACACATCAACAAATCATTTCTCATGAATCGGAATTCCAGAAAATGGAACAAATTGCTGGTCGATATCCGTACCAAGATATCGGAGTACAACCGTCGAAAAAAGCTTGACACGTACCTGAAAGTAGGGCTGGCAACCCACAAACTATCCATAAAAGATCTAAGCAAAATCCAGACAGTGCATAATTGAAAGTAGCCGACGATCGTGCCAGTTGGGTCGGAAAAACAAATGCTGTTCCTCAATTTACCTTAATCTCCTATTGCAATTTTCAGTTCTACTTGGCACGAAGGCCTATCGCTGACTGGTGGTGGATCTGAAATGCAAGCTTTATGTAACCGTATTCAGCCCATCGTTACCCGCAATAGTCCCCCTTGATTTGATTTGGCCTCACTACTACCATGTGTTGGTTTAACCAATAGCAAATTAGTTGGCTGCACTTCCAAATACAGTTAACCATCTCTTCACTCATAACCTCACTGCCATTTTGCGTGCTTGCACATTTACCACTCGCTTGCGGAAGCGCTAACGCGATGGCAGATTAGACACCCATGTCCTCCAATAGCGAATTCAACCCATTTTGTCCCTCAGTACTTCGTTTTGGCTTTATTTGGTTTTGTTGTTGGCTAGTGAAACAACCGACAAATTGATAGATTT